TCTCTCAGCATCCTCAGGCAGTACATGGATTTACCCCATCTTACAGAATTACTGTGGGAGCCTACCCTGGCAGTGAGTGATGAAATAAAATTGAACTCATGTTTGCCTGGCCCCTAGGTCCAAATTCCATCTAACCCCCTTCAAGCAACTTCCACTCTCCTCAGACATCAATAAATTACTTGGTGGGGCTGGAGCACAGTGAGTAGGGCATTTGCCTTGCACGCGGCCAACCCAGGTTCGATTCCCAGCATCCCATATGGTCCCCCGAGCACTGTCAGGATTGATTCCTGAGTGCATGAACCAGGAGTAACCCCTGTGCATCACTGGGTGTGACCCAAAAAGAAAAAAATAAATTACTTGGAAATATTATGTGTACGGACACATATATTTTCTCCAGGCTGTCAAACATCAGATAGGGCAGATGTTGGGATAATAATAATAGTATTAGGTTCTTCCTCTTTACAGAGTCTGTAGAATTTATATAACACATTGTGAATGTGAGAGAGACCCATAAGACAACTCTTATACTATTCATAACAAGCAATACAAAATAAATTATCTAGCATCTGCCTGTGGGGCAGGTTTGAGTGGTGCTGGAAAACTTCAAAATAATGGTTGTGAGAAGGGGTAATGGTGGTGGAATTGGTGCTGAAATATGGAATGTAAACAATTATTGTGAACAACTTTATGAAAAATAAAATTTAAATAAAAATACATTGTGAAATAATGGGCAAAGAAAGAGATCAGGCTGGCAGACCCACTCAGATTCAAGCCCCAGACTCTTTCTCTCTTAACCCTGGACTTGGAGAGGAGATGGTACTCCTCTGGGCTTAGTGTTGCCCAGAGTCCTCAGGGAGGTAAAGGCAGTGCCTGCCTGTTCCTGGAGGTTCCCACCTGAGGGGCCTCTCAGAAGCCATGGTAACCAGCTCTCATGAGACCCCTTCTTCTAGTTGGAGGTTCAGAGTGCTGAGCTTTGACCCTGGCTCAGATCTCATCTCAGGCCCACCCTTGTACTCTGGACTAGAGCCAAAGCCGTTGGTGGTGGCATGATGCTTCCTGGGTGTTTCTCACCCCAATCCAAAGTAACTCTTTGATTGCTGGAACCCAGTGGCTCTTCCTGAGACCCACCAGACAAGGATTGCCTGCCAGAACTTGGGCAAGTCACTTATCCTCCGTGCCTCTGGGCCCCTTGGCACCACAGGAACATTGTGGGGTAGTTGTGAAGTTATGAAATGAGGCTCTGAGGTTATAAATAGATGAAGAATTGTGAAGTGTTTGGAAAAGACCTGGTCTGTAGAAAGTTCTTTAGTCTTTGTAAAAGTTTCTGGCTGTCAGCTTTCCATAGCAGATTATAGTCTTACCCAATTCACAGGTTGTGCAGAAAATTCATTGGGACAGTGAATAATAACTGCATAATACTATACGTATATTGAACATTTTCTATGGCTCTGGCACTGTTCTAAGAACATTACGTAAATTACCTTGTTGAATCTTTTTAACAATTCGGCAATCTTGTTATGATCCCCATTTTTCAGATGAAAAGATCAGGAAAGAACACAGTCAACATTTGAACTGTGACTGCTGTCTGAGACACTGATGCTATGTACTAGTCCCAGAGAACATCCACTTTCACCCTTGCAATAAGCCCACATGTTTTTATTTTTATTTCTTTATTTTTATTTGTTTTGGAGCCCCATCTGACAATGTGAAGGAGTTGCTCCTGACTCTGCATTCAGAAATTACTCCTGGTGGTGCTTGGGGGACCAGATGGGATGCCGGGGATTGGATGCTGGGTCCGCCATGGGTAAGGCAAATGCCGTTCCAGTTGTACTTTCACTCAAGCCCCCCAACAATATAGTTTTTTATTTTTTATTTTTTTGTTTTTTTGGGTCACACCCAGCGATGCTCAGGGGTTACTCCTGGCTCATGCACTCAGGAATTACTCCTGATGGTGCTCACAGGACCATATGGGATGCTGGGAATGGAACCCGGGTCAGTCACGTGCAAAGCAAACGCCCTACAAACTGTGCTACTGTTTCAGCCCCATGAGTACTTTCCAAAGTTGATACAAACATTAAAACATGGGATGCTGGGAACTGAACCCGGGTTGGCTGCCAACAATATGTTTTTAATCACCCCATTTCTCTGTATATTGGAGACTCTGAAGCCAGAGAGACAGGGGATTCCCTGGCAGCCCAGCAGGAGTTTCTGACTTGCTTGGACAGTGGCCCTATTGGCAAATCCCTGGTTTCTCTCAGCGCTTCAACCTTCAGGAGTGCTCACACCCACAGCACCTGTCATTCCAGCCTCGAGAAGCTCTCCTGAGGAAAGCGGAAATTGGCTTCCTCTCAACTTTGTGTGCCCTTGGGTCTTGGGGACAGCAACAAAGTCCTTATTTTTCCTTCCCTGGAAGTGGTTTGTGGATTCTTCATTTCCTTATGGCACCCATTCCTACTGAATAAGCCTTTGCGCCCGGTGACAGTGGGGGTTAAGTTTCGAGGGACTGAGTTGTTGCACCAAAGTGAAGTGGCCTATGGTTTCAGATATGTCCCCCAGATCTCCCACTCCTCCCCCTGCCCCCATCTGCCTCCTCCTCAAAGTCAGTTTGCTAACTCCAGGCCAAATCTGAGCCGTCAAAGGAGCAGAGGGGCCAGGGAGATTGTTCACAGGACAGAAACACATACCTGCATGTGTTTGTCCATAAGTTGGACCTCCAGCACCACCTGGTATAGCACTGAGGGTCCTCGAACACTGCTGGGAGTGGCCCAGGGCCCATTGAGCATTGCTAGAGAGACCTTCTCCCCCCAGTTTAAAACAATAGAATAGAAACCATAGTCTTAAACATGAAGAGTGTGGAAATGGGGCCAGGGAGATAGTGCAGAGGACTGGAGTGCATGCCCTCAGCCCCAGGCCTGAGGCTTGATCCCTGGGACTGTGTGTTTTCTCAACCCCGCTTGGTATAGCCCTGGTGGCTGCCAGCTTTTCTGGGGTGGGAGTGGGGTCCCAAATGTATAAAACTCCAGCACTCCAGCTTCTTTGGATTTTGCGGGCTTCTGACTCCCCAACTCCACGGTTCCCTCCATGTACTGATTATAGTCATTTGGGAGCTTATTTGCTCTGCAGCCTGGAGAAATGAGATCTGCAATACATATCTCTTGGAGAGAGAGAGAGAGAGAGACAGAGAGACAGAGAGAAAGAGTGGGGGGAGAGAGAAGTGCCTGCCATAGAAGCAGGAAGGGGGTGGGGTTGGGGGTGATGGAAGGGAACCTGGGGATACTGGTGCTGGGAAATGTATACTGGTGGAGGGATGGGTGTTGGAACATTGTATGACTGAAACCCAATCATGAACACCTTTGTAAGGGGCTATCTCACAGTGATTCAATAAAAAAATTTTTTTAAAAAAAAAGTGTCTCTTGGATTCAGAATGCTTCATGTGCACATTTGGGGTAGAATGAGTAGCGATTAGTATTAAACCCAACAGAGAGAGACAAAGAGAGAGCCTGGAGGTAGATTCAAAGACTGCCAAAGAGAATCTCTGAGTTCTCAGGAAGGAGGAGCGGTTCTCAGGCTGAAGCTGGAGATGCCATGCACAGGGCATCTTGTGTTCAGAGCATCTGTGTTCAATTCTTCGGTCATGGGCTTATTGAGACCAGCTGTGTGCCACAGGCTTTATTCTGATTTGGGAACAATCAGTAAACACTTATATTCTAGCAGGAGGACAAAACCCCGCCATATAGGTACAATATTTCGAATGTCAGATGGTAGTGTTATGAAGAGGAAAAAAAAAGGAATCTGGGAAGGGAGATGTGAGATTTCACTGTGGGGGCTAGAAGCCCCCTGAAAAGGTGAGGTTAGCGGAGAACCTGGTGGGAGCTGGCAGGAGCCTGCAGTGACTGGGTAGAAGTGTCCTAGGTAGAGGGATGGGAGGTGCAAAGGGGCAAGGCTAAGGCTGCAGGGGCCGTGCAGGAGGGAGAGGCAGGGGAGGAAGATCAGAGACCTGGCATGCCCCAGGGAGATTTTGGTTTTAATTCCGAAAACATCATCATCAGCATGATGTACCTAAAGCAGCACACATGTGTTTGATTTTAACATACTTGCTTGTATTCTCTTATATACATTCTCTGTCTGTCTCGGAGAGTCCCAGCAAGCCACCGAGCATATCCTGCCCGCATGGCAGAGCCTGGCAAGCTCCCTGTGGCTATTCAATATACCAAAAACAGTAACTATAACAGGTCTCATTCCCCTGACTCTTGAAAGAGCTTCCAATACGGCACCGTTGGGAAGGATGAGTAAGGAGAGGCTGCTAAAATCTCAGGACTGGGACGAATGGATGCATTACTGGCATCCGCTCGAGCAAATCAATGAACAACGGGATGACAGTGATATAGGGATTCCGAAAACATGTAACCAGATTTAGCATGGGGAGGCCTGGAGCTCCCGGGGCAGAGTGGAGTTAGCAGGAGCTGTAGCTGGCTCACTGTCCACTCAGCTGTCCCGCTGTGTCCCTCTGCCCTTCATCCCCAGTGTACAGAAGCCCCACTCCCCTTTGCCCCAGGCTTATGCTGAGCACAAGAGGAAGAGTGTCCCATCACTCGGCTCTGGAGGAGGGAACGTCTTCAGGGTGGGTGAGGTCCTGCGCTGGGGTGGGAGAGCCTGTAGTGAGAAGTTGGGGCCTGGGCACAGGTGGGCGGCGGGAGAGAGTAGAGATGGGGGTGGGTGGGGGAAGTAAGGGAGGGTCCCCCAGTCCTGTTTCTCTTAGCCAGGGGGTGAAGGATTCTATCTCCTTGTTGGCTCTGGACAGAGGACAGTTGAATGGGCCATGACAGGTGGCCTTGACATCTTGTTGGCTGGCCACTGGCTCTCACTTTTAGAAACTGGTTTCCAGAAGTGATTGATGGGAAGGGTGGCAGCTAAATATAGCCCCTGGGCCAGGGCTGGTCTGGGAGGGTCAGCCCACTGCTCACTGCCAGCCCATTCCTCAGTGTCCACTGCTAGCGGCTGCCTGGTCCCTGGTCCTGCTCTGAGACTGCCCCTGCGCCAGGCTTCACCTTGCCTGTCGCCTGAGAGTCCCTTTCGGTCCAAGATCTCAGCCAAATCCGTGAGTTCTGCGCCTGGTGCCTGCAGAGGGAAGTGACTGTGTGTGTGTGTGTGTGTGTGTGTGTGTGTGTGTGTGTGTGTCCAGGGTGGGGCTTGGGGGCTGGGGCTGGAGCCGAGCCTGCCATGGGTAACAACATGGGAAAGGTCATTTGGAATCGGGTTATTTGGAACCATTTAGTTGGAACCATTTAGGAATTAGCGGGGAAACAGGGGCCCTGATAGAGGTTATTTGGGTCGGGAGAAACCCGGGTTGCTATCTAAGCGGGGGCTGCGTTTGGAACTGAGACCGAGTTCACCTTCCCTCCTGGGCCGGCACCAGAATCCTTTCCTGGAGGGGATTTTAGAGCTCGGGGATTTTAGAGCCGGCTGCAACCCGCTGACCGAGCCTTCCTCCTCTGCCCAGGTCTGCCATGGCCACGGCCGGCCTCTTGCACCAGGAGCTGTCCTGCCCGCTGTGCCTGCAGCTGTTCGACGCGCCCGTCACGGCCGAGTGCGGCCACAGCTTCTGCCGCGCCTGCCTGGGTCGCGTGGCTGGGGAGCCGGCGGCCGACGGCACGGTGCTCTGTCCCAGCTGCCAGGCGCCCACGCGGCCACAGGCGCTCAACACCAACCTGCAGCTGGCGCGCCTGGTGGAGGGGTTGGCGCAGGTGCCGCAGGGCCACTGCGAGGAGCACCTCGACCCTCTCAGCATCTACTGCGAGCAGGACCGCGCGCTCGTGTGCGGCGTGTGCGCCTCCCTCGGCTCGCACCGCGGCCACCGCCTGCTGCCCGCCGCAGAGGCCCATGCGCGCCTCAAGGTGCGGGCCCCGCGCGGTCTCTGGGGAGGGGTGGGGGGGACGGGATCGCCGACAGGACCCCCAGGACGGCTGGAGGGGACTCGGGCGGGGCGCGGCGGCGAGGAAACGCGGAGCTGACAAGCTAGAAGGGCAGGCGCTCCTTTGGAGAGGCAGACGGGGTGGGTTCGCGAGGGTCGTGAACCCCAATTCCCGGCCTGGCGGTGGGGGGGGGTTGGACTCGGGGCTTTAGAACGCCCTGCGGTGCACGAGTGGTCAGTCCCGCGGGCCGGGCCTCTGCGGAAGGCACAGCTGCTGCCCGAGCGTCCCTCAGCGCGCGCCCCACCCAGAGGGAGGCGGGGAGGGCAGGTTCAGGTCGGTGCCTGGCAACCGTCGAGGCTGTTTTTCCGGTTTGGAGCTGGTCGACGTGGGCTTCCAGAACCCACGCACGGTGACGTGCTCCGCGAGGTTTGCCCACCCGACCGTGCCCCGCAAGGACAACCTGACCATGGCACACAGGAACACAGGCACGGACCGGTTGAGCAGCAGGCGAAGGAGGCTCCGGACTTGATTCTTTATTGGGCAGTGGAAGGGGAAGGGGGCAGAGGTGGGGTCTGCGGCCCCGCAGCATCAAGTTCCCGAGGTTTGCTTGTCCCTCTCGCAGGCGTTGTTTTACTTCGTGGCCCTAGGAGAGGCAGATCCATGTCCTCAGGAGGATTCTGGAAGCCCCCAGAACCCTCCCCGACCCAGTCTCCCGGCCGTACCTCCTTCTCTGCCATGCCCAGTGCTGGCACCCCTCCCAGCCCTCCCCCCTCCCCCCAATCTAGGCTCTCCTCTGCCTGAACTTCCCAAACTCTCCAAGTCACCAGGGGGCATGAGGGAGCTGGAGGAGAGAGATGCCATCTGCCAGGACACACTTCCCTTCCTCACTGCCCGGAAGAGAGGGTCAGGCAGGGGCCCAGAATGGGGTGTGGAGGGAAGCTGGAAGAATGGGGGGGGGGCGGGAGGCCCTTGATGAGGAGGGGCTAGGTGAGGACTTCCTGTGCCAGACTCAGGAACTGGGGTCCACCCCGCCCCCCCACCCTCCAGACTCACTCGGCCTGGAGCGCTGAAGCCTCCTGCTGCATGCCCATTTCCTGGAGCAGGAGCACAGTGAGCTCGACAGCATAGTCCTCACAGTAGTGGGCAACCAGCTGGTCAGTGAGGTCCACCGCGTCCATCTGCCAGAGGTTCCCCCTCGGGATTCTGTAGTAGCCCTTGTGCAGTTGCGCAGCCCCAAGCTTCAGCTTGAACTTCTTGAGCTCGTCAGGGGTCAGGTTCTCCAGGGCCAGCAGGATGGCGTCTCGCTTGGTCCCCATGGCTCAGGTGCTGTGGCTTCTGAACTTCTGACACGGGGCACTGGGAGCCACCAGGCCCACCCTGTGGCACAAAAGGCGGGCCCAGGAGATAGATGTGGGTGGAGATTGACCCAGTGGGTCCCCGCCCTGCCAGGCAGAAGTTTCAGGCAAGCAACACTGCAGGCCCGGGTCTGTCACAACCACAGGTGTGTGGGGGGATGGCTGTCCCCGTGCTGCAGGAGAGGACAGTGAGGCTAGAACCCGAGGCAGGAGTGGCACCAGCAGGTTGGAGCGCAGTGTACCTCCCAGCCTTGCCCAGATGTTGGCAGGAGACATCAGAAGCTTCTATTCTGAAACCACAAGCTGCGGGCCCCAGGAAGGACGAGGCCCCGCAGACTCTTGGTAGTCTGCGCCCAGAGCCCAGACAGTTTCTCTAAAGTTCTACTTTTATGGTTTTTTTTTTTTACTTTTATGTATTTTTAACTTTCTTTTTGCTTTGGGGTCACACCCACTGATAGTCAGGGCTTACTCCTATCTCGGCACTCAGGGATCACTCCTGGTGGCCTTGGGGACACACGGATGCTAGGGATTGAACCTGGTTGGCTGTGTACAAGGCAGGGGCCCTACCTGCTGTACTATCTCTCTGGCCCCAGCTATATTTTAATTTTTGGTTTTTGGGCTACATCTGGTTGTGCTTAGGACTTACTCCTGGCTTTGTGCTCAGGGAGCATTCCCGGCAGTGCTTACGGGGTGCTGGAATCATTGGCTGGGGCTTCACTTGTTTGAACCCATGTCAGCTGTATGCAGGGAAAGAGCCGTACACACTGTCCTAGCTCTTTAGCCCCCTAAAATAGAAGTTTTGAGTGGGCTGGAGCGACAGCACAGCGGGTAGGGCGTTTGCCTTGCACACGGTCGACCTGTCTTCGATTCCTCCGTCCCTCTCAGAGAGCCCGGCAAGCTACTAAGAGTATCCCGCCGGCACGGCAGAGCCTGGCAAGCTCCCTGTGGCATATTTGATATGCCAAAAACAGTAACAACAAGTCTCACAATGGAGATGTTACTGCTGCCCGCTGGAGCGAATCGATGAACAACGGGAGGACAGTGCTATATACAGTGTTACAGTAGAGAGAGAGTCCAGTAATTGGAGGAGGCTAGATTTCTTTGATCCTGCCTCCCCCCTGCCCCCCAAATCCTGCTGGCCAAATCTAACTTGTACTGGTCATCCTCATAGGGCTGTGCTGGGAGGGTCTGGCACCTAGGGAGTCAGAGGCGAGAGGAGGTGTCACCAAATGACAGTTGGGACACCAGGGCCTGGTGGTGGTGGTGGAGGAGGGGATAATGACATACCAGTCAGGCTGCGGAAGGAGCTGCTCAGAGGGTTGGGGGTATGGGTTTTGAGGGCAGCGGTGTCAGTGTCACTCCCTTACCCCCTCCCCCACTCTCCCTCAGACCCAACTTCCACAGCAAAAGCTGCAGCTGCAGGAGGCCTGTGCGCGCAAGGAGAAGAGTGTGGCGGTACTGGAGAACCAGCTGACGGAGGTGGAGGTGAGACGCCTGCGGAGCCTGCAGCCTGTGGGGCCAGGCTTGGGGGTGGGGTGGGGAGGGAGTCTCCAGACAAGTGCTCTTTGCTGTTCTGCCTCCACAGGAGACTGTTCGACAGTTCCAGGAGGCGGTGGCGGGGCAGCTGGACAAGATGCGGGCGTTCCTGACTGCCCTGGAGGGCTCATTGGACCGCGAGGCCGAGCGCGTGCGCACTGAGGCAGGGCTGGCCTTGCGGCGGGAACTGGGGGGCCTGAACTCTTACTTGGAGCAGCTGCGGCAGATGGAGAAGGTTCTGGAGGAGGTGGCCGACAAGCCGCAGACCGAGTTCCTCATGGTGAGCCCCAGCTGGGCCTTTACTCTGTGCCGGGCCTTAAGAACCGGGCTCCACGCTCAGGATGGGAGATGCGTGCTGAAAATAGAGGATAGACCGAACATGATGGTCACTTAAAACCTCCATTGCAAACCACAACACCCAAAAGGAGAGAGACAGAGCGAGAGCGAGAAAGAGAGAGAGAGCGAGAGAGCGAGAGCGAGAGAGAGAGAGAGAGAGAGAGAGAGAGAGCAAAAGGGAATGCCCAGCCACAGAAGGGGTGATGGGGTGGGGGTGGTGGAAGGGACACTGAAATCATTGGTGGTGGAGAATGGGCATGAAAGTTTGCTAAGTCTGTAACTGTACCCCATGGGGATCCATTTAAAAAATAAATTAAAAAAAAAAGAACCGGGCTTCAGACGCCTCAGACATTGCCAGGCAGGGCCCCCGAGGCCCACCTAACCCCAGGACAGCTCTGAGGGCTGCGAGAGACTGAGAACTGCATGAGACCACAGCTAAATGGGCAGGCTCGCAGCTCAGGGGCCGGCTGGGGACACTGTTCAGCCTGTCTCGGGCATGGGAATAACATACCCAGAGATCAAGGCTGGGGCCGCCTTTGAGTTCTGGGTTTCTTTTGACGTTTCTGATTCTTGTGGACCTCACACTCATGCAGTCTCAGTGGGTTACTCCTTCTCAGTTCCCCCCAAGCGCCCTCCTCTCCCTTCTTGCCTCACCTCCGTTCTCTTTCTTTTTCCAGAAATACTGCCTGGTGACCAGCAGGTGAGACCGCCCTCCTCCCTGCTTTCCTCTCTCACGGCGCCTCACTCCACTCAGGAACTGCCCCTCCCTGCCTGGGTATCCACTTTGGAGCTGAACCAACCCTGTAGACTGCTGGAGGCAGGAGGCAGGCAGGCTGGGCCCAGCTCACCGAGCCTGGTGCTGCTATGCATGGGCAGGGGAGGCTTCCCGGAGGGGTGCACGTTTGAGGGGGATGCTGAGGACTGGGCAGGAGCAGCCAGGCCAGGGGAGGGACGTGCAGTGTGGGTAGAGCAGCTGGTGCTTAGGGGCTGGGACACAAATGGAAGGGCTCAGGAGGATGGGCCTCATTCACACACACACACACACACACACATACATTGCTTTTTGGGTGACACCTGGTGATGTACAGGGGTTATTCCTGGCTCTGCACTCAGGAATTTCTCCTGGCTGTGCTCAGGGGACCATATGGGATGCTGGGAATTGAACCTGGGTCGGCTGTGTGCAAGGCAAACACACTACCCACTCCAGACACATATTTTTAAATTGTGATAGCTACATGGCATAAACAGGGCTAGAGCGATAGCACAGCAGATAGGGCATTTGCCTTGCACATTTGCCTTTTGCCAAGCTGACCCGGGTTCGATTTCCCTGCCCCTCTTGGAGAGCCTGGCAAGCTACCAAGAGTATCTCGCTCCCCATGGCATATTTGATATGCCAAAAACAGTAACAACAAGTCTCACAATGGAGACGTTACTGGTGCCCACTTGAATGAATCGATGAAGAACGGGAGGACAGTGCTACAGTGCTACACGGCATAAAATGTACCATTTTTGGGTCCGACCAGTAGTGCAGCTGGTAATGCAGTTTGCCTTGCACGCAGCCAACCTGGGTTTAATCCCTGGGATCCTATATGGTCTCCTGAGCACCGCCAGGAGTAATTCCTGAGTGCAAAGCCAGGAGTAATCCCTGAGCATCACCGGGTATAGTCTAAAAACAAAGACACTAAGGGTACCATTTTTTATTTATTTTTTTTGCTTTTTGGGTCACACCCAGCGATGCACAGAGGTTACTTGGCTCTGCACTCAGGGGACCATATGGGATGCTGAGAATTGAACCCGGGTTGGCTGCGTGTAAGGCAAACGCCCTACCCGCTATGCTATTTCTCCAGCCCCTCAGTACCATTTTAAGGCTACTTTGCACCCAGTTTAAGTTCATTGACAGGAAGCACATCCCTGCCGTGTAGCCACCAAGAGCCATCAGCTCTGAACTCTCTTCATCTGGAAGGAGAGTGACTGCCGGGGGTGATGTGGGAAGCCCCTGCACCTCGTCTCAGTCCCTCTCCCGGGGGACCCTGCCCTCGCCAGCCCCTGCCCCCCCACCCAGGAAGTCTCTAGCAGACACTTCCTCCCACTTCCCGCCCAGGCTGCAGAAGATCCTGGCAGAATCACCGCCACCTGCCCGGCTGGACATCCAGCTGCCCATCATCTCAGATGACTTCAAATTTCAGGTGTGGAGGAAGATGTTCCGGGCTCTGATGCCAGGTATGGGGGCGCTGGGAGGGTGACTCCCGGTTTGTATTTGTGACTGTGTGACTGTTGGCTGGCCCAGCCACAAACACAAGCCTTCTGACTCAATTGGGGAGGTTGTTCCCCCTCCCCTTTACCTTGGGTTCCCCCTCCACCCTGGAGAGCTGCTGGAGGAGAGGGAGCTTCATGCCCCGGCCTTGGTGGGAGACTGGCAGTGTGACTGGGCGCCAGGCAGGAGTTACCGAGTCTGTGTGGGACCCTCAGCCAGGTGCTGCCCCTTATTATCAGTGGTGATGGTCATTCCTGCCCCAAGAGGGCCCTGCTGAACTGGGGTTCAACTGGTCAGTATTCTCTGCTTGGGGGGCGGAGGCGGGGGGGGGGCAGAGGGACCTTTTATTTTAAAATTATTTATTTATTTATTGCTTTTTGGGTCACACTCAGCGATGCTCAGGGGTTACTCCTGGCTCATGCACTCAGGAATCACTCCTGGTGGTGCTCAGGGGACCATATGGGATGCTGGGAATCAAACCCGGGTGGGCCATCTGCAAAGCAAATGCCCTCCCCGCTGTACTATTGCTCCAGCCCCAGGGATGTTTGTTTTATCCAGTGAAGACTTAAGGTGCAGAGACTAAAGCTCAAGGTCACCTAGTTGGTGAGCAGAGGAGAGGGTTCTCCTGTGCCCTACACACACACACACACACACACACACACACAGTGGACCGGCATTACTTGGCCTCGGCGCTTAGTTACATGCCTGGTATCCCTTAGTCCTCATCACCACCTTGGAAAGCGGCAATTCCTGAGCACTTTAGGGTTGAGCAATCAGAAGGCCAGGCAGGGGGTTGGCGGGTCAAGGTCCCAGGGGCCTGACCCATGTTCTCCCCCTTCTTCCCCTCCACTTCCAGCACTGAGCGAGCTGACCCTGGATCCCAGCACGGCCCACCCAAGTCTGGTGCTGTCCCCGTCAGGCCGGCGCGTGGAGTGCTCAGAGCAGAAGGCGCCGCCGGCCGGGGAGGACCCACGCCAGTTCGACAAGGCGGTGGCGGTGGTGACCCACCAGCAGCTCTCCGGGGGCGAGCATTACTGGGAGGTGGAGGTGGGCGACAAGCCGCGCTGGGCCCTGGGTGTGATCGCGGCGCAGGCCAGTCGCCGGGGCCGGCTGCACGCGGTGCCCTCGCAGGGGCTGTGGCTGCTGGGGCTGCGCGACGGCAAAGTCCTGGAGGCGCACGTGGAGGCCAAGGAGCCGCGCGCGCTGCGTCCCCGGGAGCGGCGGCCCACACGCGTCGGCGTCTACCTGAGCTTCAGCGACGGTGTCCTCGCCTTCTACGACGCCAGCGACGCTGACGCGCTGGAGCTGCTCTTCGCTTTCCACGAGCGCCTGCCCGGGCCGGTGTACCCCTTCTTCGACGTGTGCTGGCATGACAAGGGCAAGAATGCGCAGCCTCTGCAGCTTGTGGGGCCCGAGGGCCAGGAGGCCTGAGCAGGCGCATTGTGGGCAGCGATACGGCGACATGGGCCGGCAAGGGGGCTGAAGGCAGGGCCAAGGCGGGTGGGACTGGGGGCGCAGGAGTCCTGACTAGGTGGGTGGAATGAGCAGGAGTCTGCCAGGGAGGGGCAACAGAAATGCCACCTTGGGAACCAGGAGGCCCGAGGGTTCCAGGAGGGAAAAAAACGGGTCTGGGAGAAGGGAGAGGAGGAGCTGGAGAGTTCCAGAGAAAGGGGCCCCTCCCTGGGACTGGGAACTCCTTGCACAGAATCCCCGCAAGCCCAGCTGTGCTCTGTGCGCAGAGCTATCCTTAGGGAAGCTGAGTGATGAGATTTGAGGGTGGGGACATTCTTCCTGGCAACTCTGCAGGTGAAGCTGGTCACCAATGGGAACCACCCAGGAAAGCCTGGCCTAGATGAACACCTCCGTCTTCCTCTCCAGCCCTTGCACAGAGGCTCTCAGGCACACACCCCAGAACCCCCTCTCCACCCTAATAGCCATCCAGAGCCCAGCTGTGCTGGGGGAAACAGACCCAACTTCCTTCCCTGCGCCTCTGGAGGTGGTTACTCAGCGTCTTAGATGTAAGGAAATGCCAACCAAGAGAAAGATGTTACTGGGGCTGGAGTGATAGCACAACGGATAGGGCGTTTGCCTTGCATGCGGCCGACCCAGGTTCAATTCCCAGCATCCCATATGGTCCCCCGAGCACCACCAGGGGTAATTCCTGAGTGCGGAGCCAGGAGTAACCCCAGATCACCGCAGGGTGTAACCCAAAGCAAGAAAAAAAGAGGAGAAAGATGTTACATGTTACTTCTACCCTGGGTCCTGACTGCAGAATAAATGCTTCCCTCCTTCCTGCACCTCCAGATCGGCCTCTTCTTGTTTACTTGCTGGTTCTCACCTGGTTCGGTTTTAAGCTCTCTGGTCCTTTTCTTGGAGATTCAGATGGGTGGGACTGGAAGTTGCTTGCCTCCTCCCCTGAGGCAATAGGGAATGACTTTCGCTTTTGGGGTCCCTGTACTCCAGCTCTGTTGCGAATCACACTGTGCACTCTGAATGCTTTCTGCTTCCCTGATCGTCCTGTGCGCCCGTCCTGCAGCAGCACGGTTTCCAAGTGTCTCCTGACCCACTCTTCCCTCATGAGGTGTGCCTAGCCCACCGAGCCCTCCAAGGATCTGGGAGGTTGGTGATGTTGGAGAGCTCCAGACTCTTTCTGAGGAAGTTGGTCTTCTGTGGAGCAGATGCCAAGTCAGGATATACGAGGTTTATGTGAGGGAAGATGCCAGGTGAGAGCAAATGGATTTTGAGGTCAGATTGTGAGGTCAGTGAGACGCTGAGGGAAGGAAAGGGAGGTAGGGTAGGAGTGTTTTGGCTACTGTGGGGACACAGAGGGGACGCAGCCAGAGAAGTCCCATGTCCCCTAAATGGGCCAATCTTTGTGTGCCTGCTGGCTCCAGGCAGATAGTTTCTTCAGTTCTGCCTTCAGTCATTTGCTTCCCTTCGCCGAGGTCATGGCAGGAATCTGTCTTTTTGCAGCTGCCACAGGTTCCCTCCGCATAAAGTGATCCTAGTTTAAATTAAGTGCGTTTGGGGGAAAGACCTATTGCCTTGACCTGAACTGAAGAGAGAGATGGGGTCTCTGAGCTAAAAGGTCATTGCAACGGAAGAGTCTGGGAAACTGCCTCATCAGGGCCTGTCTGTATTTCTCCTTCCCTCTCTCCCTCCCTCCCTCCTTCCTTCTCTACTTCCCTCCCTTGCTCCCTCCCTTCCTTTCTTTTTTCCTTTCTTCCTTCTGTTATCTTTCTTTTTTCTCCCTCCCTTCCTTCCTTCCTTCCTTCCTTCCTTCCTTCCTTCCTTCCTTCCTTCCTTCCTTCCTCTTTCTTTCCCACACCAGGCACTGCTCAGGGCTTACTCCTAGCTCTTCACTCAGGGATCACTCCTGGCAGACTTGGGGAACCATATGGGGTACTGGCGATTGAACGCAGATAAATGCACGCAGGGCAAGCACCCAGGGCACTGTACTATCACTCCAGTCCCCTTCCTTTCCTTCTTGTAAATAGCTTTTATTGGAAGAAAGTTACTTAGAAAAGTGTGAGAAAAGAGAGGAACATGTGTCCAAAAGAAAACGAGCTTGCAAAAGCCTACTGAGGACGTTTCTTTTGGACGGTGGCTTCCTGGCCCAGGCTCACTCTTCCCGGGTGCTGAGGAGTAGGTCCCAGGGACACTGTCTTTCCAAAGGCCAGGCCCTCCACCCCTTGGCTCTCCCTTGCACGGCCACCCTGGGAGCTTAGAGTGGCTGACCCGGGACTGGCTTCGGTGCTTCCCTAACTTCCTCCCCAAACAGGAAATTGGTCCCTCCCTGGGTCAGGTGAAACTGAAAGCTAGAACGTTTTTGAAGAATTTTTGAGATCCCACAGCTGCAGCCATCTGAACAGTTTCACAGTTTCACAGTTTCACAATGATCTCAGAAGAGATGCCAGATCAAGCTGATGAAACTCACGCGTATACTATACTGGTCTTTTTTCAAGTCAAGCCAAAAACTCTGGGGCCCCCTTGGATGAGAGTCATCTCAGTCATAGGGCTGCTGGAGTGCACAGCTAAACAGACCGAGACACCTCCAAATTGCGCAAGACTGACAGCCCAGTAGGAGCACAGAGAATTAGATGGGAAAGTAGCAGAGAAGCCAGCTAAGCTCAGTAAGCAAAACAACAACAACAACAACAACAACAACAACAACAACAACAACAGACAGAAGGCTCAACTAGCAACAAAACGCTCACTAAACCCTCAGATAAGACTTTCACGACCCTTGGTAATCTATAACAATTTTCAGAAATTTTCTTTTTCTGAAGTATTTTTTCACAGTTTCATTTGTTGTAACAGGTAATAGAAAATAATAAAAATAAAATAAAATAAAATAAAATAGAATGTGTTTTGTGCCTGCTAAGGGCAGGCTTGGAGGATGGGTGGAAAACTGGGGACAATGGTGGAGGGAAGGTTAGTTACACTGGTGGTGGGATTGGTATTGGAACACTGAATATCCAAAACTACTGTTTTATGAACAACTCTGTAAACTATGGTGCTTAAGTAAAGTTAAGCTTTACAGTGGGTAGGGCATTTGCCTTGCACATGGCTGACCCAGGTTCGATTCCCAGCATCCCATATGGTCCCTCGAGCACCGCCAGGAGTAATTCCTGAGTGCAGAGCCAGGAGTAACCTCTGTGCATTGCCGGGTATGACCCAAAAGGAAAAAAAAAGAATTTAAGTTTCAATAATTTTATTTCTCTGAGTCTTGGCCGCTGATGGGATTACATGGCGCCAGGGGGCCAGGTGGTGGGTGTGACCCCTGCCTACTGGAATTTGGAGGATCTGGGTGGAAGATGCTCGACTCCAATCCGAGTAGGCATTCGCGGCCGCGTGACATCTTATCAGAACTTTTTTTTATTACATCTTATTGTCTCATTCCTACTTTGGACAAACTTGCAGGCTATCGAATGTAGCCTGCCCACAGGGCAGAGTCTGGCAAACTCCCCGTGGCGTACCAAATATGCCAAATACCAGTAACAATGATGGGTCTCATTCTCCTAAAGAGCCTTGAATATAATCTCAGGGCTAGGATGAAAGAGACGTTACTGGGGCCTGCTCGAGGCAATCGACGAATAACAGGATGATGAAATGAAATGAAAATTTTATTTCATTAATCCTCACAACACTGGGTCTCACCACAACCTACTCCTCATGAGGCCACTTTGCTCTTCTTGGGTTGAGGGAGCCCATGATACATGGTGACCGTGGGGACTGGAATCCACAGGTATGTTGTACATTCTGGAAATTCTGTTTCTTTTTTTTTAATCACTCTTAGGGATAGGATCCAGGTCTCCTGTGTGCAAGGCATGTTCTTTACTGCAGAACCATATCACCAGGTCAACCCCTTTGAAAGTGGTGGTAGGAACACTGGAATTTAATTGCGAACATCATGTTCATATTGAAATGGACATATCATACTTATTAAAATATGTATAAATATTTGTCCTTATATCATATATGGTCACTCCAGCAAGTGCTCAGCTCTTACTCTTGGCTCTGTGTTTAGGGACCATTCTTGGCAGTGCCGGGGATTTGGGGTGTGCCAAGTGCAGGGCAAGTACCTTAGCCTCAGTACGATCTTTATAAAACCTCTATATGAATTTTTAAAAAAAATTTTATTAGTGAAACACCATGAGGTACAGTTGTAGACTTACAAATTTTTGTGCTTGGGTTTCAGTTATACAATGATTGAGTACCCATCCCTCCACCAGTGCCCATTCTCCACCACCACCAGTCCCAGTAGCCCTCCCCCCATCCCCCCTCCCCCCATCCCACGCTGCCTCTGTGGCAGGGCATTCCCTTTTGTTCTCTCTCTCCTTTTGGGTGTTGTGGTTTTCAAAAGAGGCATTGAGTGGCAATCATGTTCGGTCTATAGTCTACTCTCAGCACGCATCTCTCATCCTGGGAGGATCCTCCCAACACTCTTTACTTGGTGTTCCCTTCTCTATCTGAGCTGCCTTTTCCCCCAGCGTGTGCAGCTGGCCTCCAAGCCATGGAGTAAACCTCCTGGTACTTATCTCGGCTATTCTTGGATGTTAGTCTCCTATTTTGTTACTTTATGTTCCCCAGTTGAATGCAATCTTTCTATGTCTGTCCCTCTCTCTATATGAATTTTTGAGATTTGACAAGAGATGTCCACAAAATTTGAATCTACACTTCCAGGGATATGAGTTTTTAAAATTATTTTTAACAAGGAACTTAAAAATAGTCATTTAACAGCTCATTGGGTTGGAGTGTGTTCTTTGCGTGTGGAAGGCCTTGGGTTCCATTCCTGGCCTCACATGGTTTCTGACACCTGTGGGAGCTATACTAGACAGAAGCACATCCTCAACATGGCTGCATGGGGCCAAAGATATTAAAAAACAATAAAATTAGGAACTAGAGAGATCATAGAGCAGGTAGAGCTCTTTCCTTGTATTCAGCTGCCCAG